GCATTTCCTTGAAAGATCATCATTAAGGTTTATGGCTCATTCCTCAATTAAAATGTTTTGGGGTTTTGTTTTTTTTTGGTCTGGTCATGGGGCTTGAACTCTGGGCCTGGGTGCTGTCCCTCACCTCTTCAGCTCAAGGCTAGCGCTCTACCACTTGAGCCACAATGCCACTTCCGGCTTTGTTTTCTTTTTGCTTATGTGGTGCTGAGGAATCGAACCCAGGGCCTCAGGCATGTAAGGCAAGTGCTCTACCACTGAGCCACCTTCCCAGCCCTCAATTAAAATGTTGAAAGCTGGTAAATAATGGAATGGAATAGCATCGTCAATAATCTTGGGGGGGGGTAAATAAGTTTGACAAGAAATGTACTCACAACCTTACTTATATAACCGTAACCCAATTTAAAAAAATTTAAACTTAAAAAAAATAATCTTTTGCTACAAGAAATAGACAACATAATTTATAGCACCAAAAGCAATGTCAGAAATGAGCATGAAATGACAATGTTTTCAGCCAAACTAGGAAGTCCATTACCAGAATCCCTGTACAAAAACAAAAAAAGAAATAAAATATATGGAAGTAGAATACTTTATCAAAGATCAAGCAAATCAACATAAAATTGATATGCATGTGTGTAAATATCACAATGATGCCCCTTTGAGCAATTACAGTAAAGATTAAAAAAGAAAATATCCTCTTACGATTCTGTAAATCTTAGCCCTGGTTTATACCATAAACCAAGATTATGAGGTTTTTACTTTGCTCGATGAGAAGAACCACATAGCTTTCTTACTGTTGCTTTTCTATAACAATGCTCTCTACATTAAAAATACATATTGTGTTGCAGTGTCTACATAATGTTTAGTGATCTGTGGAAATCCAAATTAAGAAAAAAGTTACAATCCTTCAGAAATACTAAATGAGAAAAGGACAATACCACGTTTAATTCTGGTACATAATAAACTTGGATTGTTCTAAAGCACATACTCCCAAACTTCTTTATCAATCCCATTCAGTTTCATGTAGCGGGATTACCTTAGAACAGATAAAGTCCTGTGAGTGTATCAGAAAAATGAAAGGCCACAATTACACACTGGTAAAGTACACTGATGATACAAAGTACTTTCATTCAACTTCCCCCATAAAGCATTACATTCAGTTCTCTGCACAATGAAACTCAGGTAATATATCTGTAATACTCTAAAAGGTTCATTTGTAACTAAGAACGTAGTCTAGGGATTTATAACGTCAGAAGTAAAATGTAAAAATGTAAAAATGAAAGCAGTTTAATTTCAACTGTCAAAGGGGAGGAAATGTAACAAGTGACTTCACCTTACAAAAGGCAAAGCTGTCTTTTAGTAGTTTACTTTGGCTACAAGAATTATAGAAGGTTTAAAATCCAGTCTCTAGACTCAAGCCATTTTATTTTCTTCTGGCAGTGCTGGGGTTAGAATTCAGAGTGTTTTAGCAAGCACCCTCACTTTGAGATACGCTCTAGCCCTTTGTGTTGTATTAGTTTATTTTTCAGATAAGAATCCCACTTTTACCATGGCCAGCCTCAGACCATGATCCTCCTACCTACACCTCCCACAATACAGATATTACAGGTGTGATCCTCAATAACCATATTGATTTTTGAGATAAAGTCTAACTTTTTTTTTTGGTATGGACAAACCATAATCTTTCTGATCTTTACTTGGTTAAAATAATTTGTAAGGAGAAGTCTCACAAAAATATTCCTAATTCTATCTACCAGTATAATTATGGCTAACATACTGAAAACATGACAGAAATAAGAAAATAGAGGCTGGATGTTAAAAATATTAATAAAGTTGGCACGGAGACTTATACTTGTAATCCCAGCTACTCAAGAGGTAGAAATTGGGCAAAAGCTAATAAGACTAGATCTCAACAAATAAGCAGAAGGTAGGGCAAAGCTGGGAGGTGGCTCAGTGGTAGAGTGCTTGCCTTGCATGCATGAGGCCCTGGGTTCGATTCCTCAGCACCACATAAACAGAAAAAGCCGGGAGTGGTGCTGTGGCTCAAGTGGTAGAGCACTAGCCTTGAACTGCAGAGCCGAGGGACAGCACCCAGGCCCAGAGTTCAAGCCCCACAACTGACAAAAAAAAAAAAAAAACAGAAAAAAAAGAAAAAGTAGAAGCATCTGCCATTTTTATGCCATCAGTGGGAAGAATTTGTTGACAAAGAAAAGGCTAGATTCTGAAGACAGAAAAAGAGAACTGGGAACTACGAGGAAATGACTTGGAGACAGAAAACTAAATGACTTGGAGACGGAAAACTACAGGGAAATAAACCCAGAAGAAAAAAAAACATCAAGGAGATCTGAGCTCTTCCTCAGCTCCTCAGTAGTGTGAAGGGAGCTGGAGACTATTACAAGGTAAAATAAACAGTCCTGCTGACAGTCTACTAATCCTAGCTGGGGAGAAAAAAGTCCATAAAACCTGCCAGCCTGAAGCATACAGGCCATAGAGGATGGGTCACAGAAGTAGACCAGGAAAGGGAGATGCTCTAACAGGAACCCACAGGAATGTGTAAAATGAGCCGCCAGTGCCGCTCACCCCTCATCCTTCCATCCCTACCTGTGTAACTAGATTACCCAAACATCTATTTGTGGTTTGTTTTATTTAGCATTGTGTGAATATATTTATTTCTCCTTCTCTTTTCCTACTGCAAGACATGACCTAGATCTTTTCTACCCATCTCATTCCACTACCTCTTGAAGGGACTCTTCTCCAATCTGTCACAGATCAGAGGGCTGTAATTGTGTGTGCATATTCCTGAGTCTTCTATTCTGGTCCATTGACTTGCATGTCTGTTTTTGTGCCAGTAACATGCTGCTGTTACTATGACTGTGTAGTATAATCTGAAGTCTGGTACTGTGTTTTACTCAGGATTTTTGCTGCTATTCAAGGTCTTTTATACTTGAATAATGAATATGAATTCTTGGGTTGAATTTTCTATTTCTGTGAAAAATGACATTGGGACTTTGGTTTTGGCAATATGGCCATTTTCAAAATTTTAATTCTGCCTATAAAGAACAATAATCTCTACCAATATTTCCTAGTGTTTCCTTTTTTAAAATTTGCTTTGTTTTAGGGTTCTTTTATTTGTGGCTTTTTGGGGGGTTTTTTGGTGTGTGTGTCGGACATGGGGCTTGAACTCTGGGCCTAAGTGCTGGCCCTGTGCTCTTCAGCTCAAGGCTAGTGTTCTACCTCTTGAGCCACAGCGCCATTTCCATTTTTCTGGTGGTTCATTGAAGAGTCTCATGGACTTTCCTGCCCAGGCTGGCTTTGAACTGTAATCCTCAGCCTCCTGAGTAGCTAGGATTACAGGCATGAGCCACGGTACCCGGCTTTTGTTTTGAGACAGGACCTCACTATACTACACAGGGTAACCTAGAAGTCCTAGGTTCATACTTTTTCCCCAGCATTCCTCCTGAATGTTGGGACTATAAGTATGTGCCATCAGGCCCAGTTCCAGTACTCATTTCTTTTTATTTTTTAAATTAACTTTAGTTGTACAAAGGAGTTTCAATCCCACATGTTACTTGATAAGTCAATGCATCTTGACCAATGCATTTCTTAAAGCAATACTCCAACAAGGTACACATAAAATATAATAATGGTTATGTGGGGGCTGGGAAGGTGACTCAGTAGTAGAGCGCTTGCCTTGCATGCATGAGACCCTGGGTTTGATTCCTCAGCACCACATAAGAAAAAAGCCGGAAGTGGCACTGTGGCTCAAGTGGTAGAGCGCTAGCCTTGAGCTGAAGAGCTGAGGGACAGTGCCCAGGCCCAGAGTTCAGGCCCCATGACAGGACCCCCCCAAAAAAAACAAATAATGGTTATGTGGTCAAGACCCAAAGTACATTAGACAAAAAGTCTCAAAACTATGAAAAATGAAGGAACTTGCTTAATTGAGTATTCTGAAACAGTAAGTTAATGAATCACAATCTCCTAATATCTATAAATATACCACAAACATGCAAAAGGTAAATAGTAATCTTAACTGGTGATTAATAAACACTATGCAAAATACTATACTTCATCTTATAACCTAAATAGTTTTTTGGAAATAGTTCTTTTGTTTGAAAAACTAAAAATGAATTTGCACAGAAAAGTTATTAAGTTGATAACTGAAAGTATTGAATATATATTTTTCCTTGATTTAAAAATTATGATTATAGGGCTGGGAAGGTGGCTCAATAGTAGAGTGCTTGCCTTGCATGCATGAGGCCCTGGGTTTGATTCCTCAGCACCACATAGGCAAAAAGAAAACAAGCCGGAAGTGGCGCTGTAGCTCAAGTGGTAGAGCGCTAGCCTTGAGCTGAAGAGCTGAGGGACAGCGCCCAGGCCCAGTGTTTAGGCCCCATGACCAGACCCCCCCAAAAAAAGAATTATGATTATAGCCAGGTGCTAATGGCTTGTGCCTGTAATCTTAGCTACTCAGGAGCTTGAGATCTGAGAATTACAATTTGAAGCCAAGCAGAGGAAGAAAAGTTGATGAGACTCTTATCTCTAATTAATCACCAAAAAAGCCAGAAGGGGAGCCATGACTCAAACAGTACAATATTAGCCTGGAACAAAAAAGCTCAAGGACAGCATCCTGGCACTGAATTCAAGTCACAGAATCAGCATGCACAAACAAGCGCGCGCGTGCGTACACACGCACGCACACAAAATATGACTGCAAAATCATCTATTTAAATGTTATGATTCCAGAGAGGGGAGGCATGAATATCTTCTACAAACAAGATCTATAGATTTTTTATCTTTCCTTCTTTGATTTTCACATTTTTCTTTTTTCAATTGAAAGAATGAGATTGTATGATCCAATGAATACACAGGTATGCTATATTCAACTTTACAAGAGGTATGTTGTACATTAATAAAAATTTTTCATGAAAACTTTTCCATTTTCCTTTTAAGTTATACTAAAGTTTACTGGTTTTAAAGAGCATCTTTTAAAGTACACACTTTACCTGAAAGCTCCATAAAGTGGTCTGTACCAACAGACAAAGGAACAAGGAGTAAAAAGCAAGAACCACAGGATACTCAGTCCAAAGTCAACTGCTCTTGCAGAGTCAACGCAAAACCAAGCCAGACATCCGAAGATATTGAGAAACAATGTTACAGCATGAACTGCAGGAAACAAAACAGAAATGTTGACATTCCATTCATTCGTTCAACAAAAATTATCAATGAAAAATATTCCTAAGAACATTTCCATTTGGTATTTTTCAAAGCACTGCTGTTTCTTACACATTTGATTTGAAAACAAAATACATAGTAAAGTGAGTCCTAATATCCAATACATGCACTCTTGGTGATAAATCTAGTTGGCCCTTTCCTACACAATTAAACCCAAAAAAGCACTATTTTAGGTCTTCTTCCCTGAGAAAGGAACCTGTCACATGACTCAAACCAAGACCCAAGAATTAAAGTTGTGCCTGCTAAGAATAGAGATTTAGGAAAAGATCCTATTCAGAATAATATTTTTAGGAAATTACAGAACAAAAACTGGGTTAAAAATACAAATAAATTAGCATATTCTATAAGGATTACTTTATTTTCATACATTTCCAATTTATTAGTGCGGAGGGCAGTCCGGGGGCTTGAACTAAGAGCCTGGGAGCTGTCCCTAAGTTTTCTTGCTCACAGCTAGTGTTCTACCATTTGAACCATACGTCTACAACAGCTTTTTAGTAGTTAATTAACGATAAAGAGTCTCATGGACTTTCCTTTCTGAGCAGGCATTGAATTGCAATCCTCAGATCTCAGCCTCCTGAGAATCCAGAATTACAAGTGTGAGCAATTTCCAATTCTTCTAAAGTTCTGAAAAACTGTTTGGTTGATATTATTAATAGCACGCACACATACACACATACAATGATGCATTTCCACAGGTGAGCAAGCCTTTCCTCTAGGTAAGACAAATAAACCTTGGCAAACTCTTCAAAAGTTAACAGATCAAAAACCTAAATAGCATCTAAGAACGCTATGATCCTAAAGAACAACACTTACCTACTACAGTTAATAATTTTAAAGAAACTTTTGAAATATTCATAAACAGAATTTATTTTAGGAAAATAAATTTTCCTGTAAACTAAAATACTGTAAATGATATAAAATGCAAATTAAACTATGACTAATTAAAATTAACAAATAAAAAGTTTATTCAATCTAAATAAACAATGTAACATACATTAAAATGAAAATTTGAGTATCTTAATAAATCAAAATTAATAATATCAACCAAACAGTTTTTCAGGACTTTAGAAGAATTGGAAATTGCTCACACTTGTAATTCTGGATTCTCAGGAGGCTGAGATCTGAGGATTGCAATTCAATGCCTGCTCAGAAAGGAAAGTCCATGAGACTCTTTATCGTTAATTAACTACTAAAATTAGTAGAACAGGATAAAGTCACATATTCTAGGATGCTCTAAATCTGCTCTCATCTAACTATAGATGAACAAACCCTCGAGTGAAACACTTCATAGGATGAGCGAAGACATCTTGGTATAGTTACACTACAGGACAATTACTTCACCGCTGTCAGCCTGTTTCTTAGCTACAGAAATACCTGAGCTCTTCCAGCTTTAAAATTCATTTCCCTTTTTTTAACTTTTAATTATTCCTACTTTACTTTTTTATGTGTATGTGGCATTATCAGGGCTTGAACTCAGGACCTCAAGCTCTCACTCAGCTTCCTTGCTCATGGCTGGTACTCTACTACTTCACCTACCAGTCCAGTCAGGCATTTTGCTAGTTAATTGGAGATAAGAGTCTCAAAGACTTTTCTGCCTTGGCTAGCTTTAAACTGTGATCCACCAGGTCTCAGTCTCCTGAGTTAGTATACTGTCATGAACCACCAGTGCCCGGCACTTATTGGAATTTTGATTCTCATGAAAGCTGGCTTACTAACATATTAAAAACGCTTTTTTAAAAAATTTAAAGACAGCTGTGGTAAAGGCTTAAAAACAATTCAAAGTGTAAAATTATTGTTCTGCATTATTAAAGGACAGACAGCTATATAAAAAATTAAATGTTAAGAGCATTCTAACTTCAGTTTCAAACTTCACAGGAACAACTTGAAAGGTTTTTCTTTTAATTCATTCACAAAATTCATTCACATATGTTCTAAAGTCCTTAAAATTCTCCCAAGTATAGATAAAAGTATTCATTTAATTTTATGTAATCTGGCAAAAAACAAAACTGTTTCTAGCTGTTTCCAAAGTAACTAAGAACCATGATCAATAAATCATTTACTTATACTTCAATAAAGGTCATAATGTCTAGCGCTATTTAACAATCTGTCCACTTATGTGAAAATCAGCACATACAGAATGGCATATCAATGTGAAAGCATAATCTATATTGCTAATTTCAACTCAATTTAATGTACACTCTTGGACTCTGAGGACAAGCAAAACACTGGAGAAATCTTTAAGCCATTTGGTTCACATGATGTGCCAACTGAACAACTCTCTTTCATATAAAATTTCAAATTTGCTTTACCAAACACTCAGATTTGGTATTAGTGGACCTAAATTTGTAACCATAAATACAATATAATTTTTGATAATTTCTGAATTACAATATAGAACCCTAACATCAAATATTATCTTCTTCGGTACATGCTTATTAATGTAGCTTGTATTTTTTTCTTTTTTTTAATTCAGGAAGTACACTTCAAAAAGTCATTCTTCATTTCAGTGTTAATTCTAATTTCCTCAGCTTATAGGGTAAATTATTAATTTTATGTCAGGAACCGCTGAAACTATATCATGAATGTATTTATTTAAATGGAAAGCACTTCTTTCTTTTGGTACTTCTGGCAGGTGGTATAATATGGAAATCTAGATCTAGACTAGCTGGATATCTATCCAATTCTAAAGTTACTTGGAAATGTTGAACAAGTAACTCAAATTTTCTAAGTTTCTGTTTACCTATATATGAAACCAAGTAGTATAATATCTGCTTCAAAATGTGGTTAGGACTTAACAAGATAATATATACAAAGTGATCAACACTATGCCAGGTATAAAATAAATTTTCAACAAATGTTGATTGTCATTACAATTATTACTTTAGTATGAAAACATTAGCCAGCCCCAAATCAGCAACAGGTTGCTGCTTCTTCAAACTAAATACAACAGCCTGTATCTTTTAAAATGCAGACACATTGCTAAGCTGGTGATAAATCTTAACTTTTTTGCAAAACAGAATCCTCATTGAAATCTTGAGCCTTCTTCAGTGCCAATTAATAATACTATAAAAATTATACTCAAGTATATTAGATCCAAAACTTTGAAAGTTATGTACTTGTCAGAGTAAACCAGTCTATTCTGAAGCCATCAACATTAAAGTAGTCAGGCATTTAATTCAACCAACCATTTCCCCCAATCTCCAATTCACTAAATTTCTTGTATAATATTTTTCAAGCTCCTGTTTCCTATACCATGTTTTTGTAAAGTCAACTAACATGCCTAAAATGCTCAACCAACTTACATCCATTTTTAAAGTATACACACATAAAATATAAATGCACATATATGAAGATACATTGGCTAAATAAATGAATTGGTTATATGTACATGTACATATATGGAATTATACCTTTAATATTAAAATACATATAATGCCACTGACACTGGGGATTCAGTAAAGCAAATTCTCAACAAGAAGCCAAATATAAGAGTTCGAAAAATACTGTCCAAAAAATGAGGGAGGGGATAACAATGTTTGACAAGAAATATACTCACTACCTTACGTATATAACTGCAACCCCTCTTTACATCACCTTGACAATAAAATTAAATTTAAAAAAGAGGAAAAATACTGTCCATAATTACTTCTCATATCCCCAAATCACCTCATCTACATGAAGGATGCTCCTAAAAGATTTTGAAGAAAATTATTAGAAAAGTCTCACTAATTATAAAATAAGAATGTGCCCTATAAATTATAAATCCCATTACTGTTATTACACAACTGCCATCTTCCCATTGACTCAATGACAGTCAGTGAGGCTGAGGTTACAGTTTGTAATAAAATGAAACAGAGTAAGTGGGAAGTCTGTGTAGATACAGCAGACTTGCTGATAGCTTGACTTTACTTTTGTATTCCATGGGCCATAACTATACTCTAAACAATATGAGCATCACAGACCAAAATGTATATGCTAATGTCTTTTTAAAAAATTGTCAAGTATTTTCAAGAATTGCAATACTCATAGCCACTTGAAAATTAAGAAGTAACTTGTGCCCAAAGCCATGTTAAAATTACAGTTTAAGGCCAGGTACAAGTGTCTCACAACTTATTATCCTAGCTACTCTGAGAGAAGCCAAGAGTTCCAACAGTTTGAGAATGGTCTGGGCAAAAAGTTAGTAGGACCCCAGCTCCCTATTGACATAATTGCTGCCATATGTCAACTGGGAGAAAGCCAATGCAACGAAGTATGCCTCACACTGCAACTATGCAGGAGGCAATCTAAGCAAAACAAAAAATTCCCAAGATCCCATCTCAGTTGAAAAAGCTAGGTATAGTAGTATATTCCTGTCATCCCAGCTACAGTAGGAAACCTAAGTACAAGGATCATGGTCCAGGAAAGTCTGGACAAAAATCAAGAAAACCCCTCAAATATAAACAGAGTAAGCTGAGTATAGTGGCTCAAGCCTATAATCCTAACTACTTGGAAGATGGAAATGGGGGATCATGGTTCAAGGCCAGCTTGGACAAAAAGTTCAAAATACTCCATCTTAACAAATAACTGGGCACAGTGGCATACACCTGTCATCAGCTACTTGGAAAGAACAATGGCTGGGTGCTACAGCATGTGCTTCTCGTCCCATCAATGAAGGTTAAGATTCAGGGTGATCCCTACATAAAGAAATACACTATCTTCATAAAACATAAAACAACAACAACAAAAAAGGTTGGGGTGTGGCTCATATAACAGAGTGCCTGCCAAGCAAGCAAGAAGCCCAGGTTTAAACCCCAGTACTACAAAAAAACCCCAAAAACTTACAGTTTATATTATATATTTTTTAGTCATAACACATACATTTAACAGAATTTAACATATTTTAAACATATTTTAACATATACAAAGGTCTTCCTTTGTACAAACGTAGTACACATAATTTTTTTCAAAACAAATCATGTTAAGTAACACTCTTCAAGGGAAACAGATCATTATATCTATGACACAGACTACTGCCTCAAAAGAAAATCTTTTTTTGGGGGGGGAGTCAGTCATTGGGCTTGAACTCTGGGCCTGGGTGCTGTCCCTCAGCTCTTCAGATCAAGGCTAGTGTTATACCACTTGAGACACAGCACCACTTCCGTTTTTCTGGTGGTTCATTGGAGATAAGAATCTCACGGACTTTCCTGCCCAGGTTGGCTTTGAACTGAGATCCTCAGATCTCAGCCTCCTGAGTAGATAGGATTACAGGCATGAGCCACCAGGGCCCAACTAAAATCATTTTCAATATGGAGGTTTTTCCTAGCAAAGAAGATAGATTAACATATATTATAATTCTGTCATTTCTAATATGATATTTCACTGAGCATGGTGCTTATGCATACAATCCCAGCTACTAAGGAAGTAGAAATAAAAGGATCATGATTTGAGGCCAGCACTGACAAAAATATTAGTGAAACCCTATCTCAACAAATGAGCTGAGGGTGAGGGGATATGGGGATACTGAAAATATCATGATCCAGGGCCAGTCTAGACAAATTACCCCAAAGTAGATTTTAAGAAGTTAGGGAACGTGACACAAGTGGTAGAGTGCTTGCCTAGCAAGCACAAAGCCCTGAGTTCAATCCTTGGTACCACCAATAAACATTTCATTATAGAAATTATGAGTAAGACCTATATGCAGAAAAAAACATAATTTACCATATTATCTTTAATATATCCAGTCCTTAAAAAATGGACTTTTACAAGCTGTGAGTAGGATGGAAAGGAAAAACTGGAAGAGATCAAGGGAAGGGATGAAATTGTCAAAAAAAAAAAAAAGTACTCTTTACCTGACTTATAAGTATAACCCCTCTGCCCATCACCTTTATAACAATTTTTAATTAATGAACATATGAACTCCAAATAAAATTGTGTTCTATACTCACACATCCACAAGTAGTACATAAGCTTTACTGTCTTTTGGAATTCTACAGGAATGTCTACTGAAAAATCCTGATAGAAACAAGGTCCCACAGGAAAATTGCTAGGAAGAGGTGGCCAATTATTTTTTCTTCCTGTAAATAAAAAGAGACATTATAACAAATACGTACTATTCCAAGTTCTGCTTTATAATAAAGGCCCCTATTATTTTAATAGCTGTTATTTTAAAACAAAATTATTACTGTTAAATTCCTAGAACTTTGAGAGCTAAGCTTTATACTTCTAGAAAATTTCTCAGAATTACTACTTTATAAAAACCATAGTGGTAAAAATACTTTTCCAGTCTCATATCATACTTGGCAGGAATCATTTGTGTATAGGAGAAACTAGAAACAAAAAAAGCACTAAAACATATCCTCAGACTCTGCCTTAAAATCATTTATTTCAAAGTCTCAAGAGCCTGGCTGTCATGGAAAAGCCACGGAAAAGCTTCAATATCAATTTTCTCCTCTTAGTCCTAAGTATTTCAATAAAAAGGCCAAACCATGTAGAGAGGAAAGACTGTCTTTTAAATCTCAGGTTTTCTACTGTTAACTTTATGAAGAACAAAAGATTAAACTAATACCAAAAGAATCATCCAGAAGTCTCAAAATCTAGAAAAAGACAACACCCAAATGATATATCTAAGAAAGTATAAAACTGTAAGAAAGGGAAATTTTTTTAAAAAATCAGAGCATAGAAATAGAAGTCAACAAAAGTCATTGGCTAATTTTAAAAATTTTATCCAACAACTTTAAAATTTTTAATTCTGAGTACTTTTTATAGACCAAAATAATTTTTATAGTGGAAAAAAGATGACCTATTTGATTCTCCCCAAATGTGCCCTCTGTTACATTAATTACAGTATTCAAATTTGGGGACAGAGTATATATAGCTCAGTAGTAGAACACTTGCACCACATATACAAAGTCCTAAGTCTGACCCCCAGCACACAAAAAAATTTCATATACTTTACACACTTTTACCAATCTCTCTGTATTTAGAAAACAGTAGAGCTGGACACCAATAGCTCCTACTTATAATCCTAGCTACTCAGGAGGCTGAGATCTGAGGATCATGGTTTGAAGTCAGCTCAGACAGAAAAATCTGTAAGAGTTTTATCTCTAATTAATCACACACACACACACACACACACACACACACACACACACACGCCCACAAGCCCACAAGCCCAGAAGTGGAGAGCTGTGGCTCAAGTTGTAGAGCACTAGCCTTGAGTAAAAAATCTCAGGGTCAGTGTTCAAGCCTTGAGTTCAAGCTCCAGGATCAGAACAAAACAAGAAAGCAAGAAGGAAGGAAATAAGGAAAGAGGAGAAAAAGAGAAAAAGAGAGAGGAGGAGGGGAGGAGAGGGGAGGGAAGGAGAGGGGAGGGGAGGGAAGGGAAGGGACAACTGAGAAAGTAACAGAGCTGGGGAGAATGTTTATGTTGCAATAATCTATGGTAGTAGAATGTACCAATGTAATCCTCCTCTGCCTAACATATTGAAATTTTTTAAAAAAGAAGTTTCAGCCATTGTTCCAAAGCTTTAAAAAAAAAAAAAAGTAGAGAATAGCAGTAAAGAACAGTCTGTGGCTCTGGAGCCAGAAGTGCCCAGACATTTACTGGTTAGGAGGTTTGAGGCAGTCTAACCTCTCAGAGCTTGAATTTCTTCAGCTATAAAAAGGGAGTAACAACTAGACCCGCCCTCAAAAGGATTACAATGAAGATTAAACATGAGTAAACCGGTGAAAATACAAAGTGTACTACTACAAATCTAACTCTGTTAATGTCCCACTCTTTGTTATTACTTTTACTAAAATGTCTCACAGAAATAATCTGCCCATGGGCTAGGAATGTGGCTTAGTGGTAGAGTGATTGCCTAGCATGCATGAAACCCTGGGTTTGATTCTTTAGTACCACATAAACAGAAAAAGCCAGAAGTAAAGCTGTGGCTCAAGCGGTAGAGTGCTAGCCTTGAGCCAAAGAAGCTCAGGGACAGTGGCCAGGCCCTGAGTTCAAGCCCCAGGATTGGCAAAAAACTAAAAGAGAATGAATTTGCACTTATCTGTGCTAAGAGGCCAGATTATAGTTTACAGATACTTCAGAAACACCTATTCCAATTACCTCTCTAGTATCTTCTTCTATAGAGACTGTCTCTGGGCTGCAAGCAAGAAAATGACCCAGATAAACATGTCTTTCTGAGGCTCTAGGTAGAGCCTCTAGCCTCTCACATTCTGAGATTGGGAAGAAATAGTCTATGTATTTTTGTCCTGGCCCTGTTATTTCATCCTTACCCAAGCATCCTACCTGTGCCTTACCCAGCTAACCTTCTTCCTCCTTATTCAGAGACTGTAAGTACTCCCTAAGATACTACCCTATAGTGATCTTTGAGGGCTGGGATGTAGCTCAGTGGCAGAGCACTTGCCGAGCAAGTGCAGCATCCTGTGTTCATCCCCAGGACCAAAAAGGAAAAGACAAAAGCAAAAAATACAGTTAAAGTGATCTTTGAGAACCACAGCCTGAATAATTCCATAGAAAATTCAGGATTCATTTATTTCTTTATTATATAAATTGCCTGGCTTATCTCAAAAGTTTTTTCTAACTATTCTTTGGCTAATATGATGTTGTATTTATAAGGACCAAGACAGAGAGATAGTGTGAAGTTAGTTTGAAAAAAGTAGGAGTCAAATGCAGGGCACATTCAAGCACCCTCAATAGAAAATGTGGAATCAAAGGATCCTGGGCCCAACCAAAGTTATCAAGTTTGCATTTACCTTCTGTGTGATGAGGCTAACACTATTCTAATCTCTATCAAAAGACTATACAAACCAGCCAAGATCAGAGAGCTACAGAGAGCTGCTGTCTGATCTTCTTTTAAGAACAGGAAACAAGGCAGGTTTATCCACAAACCAAATGAGTAGAGTTACAAAAGAAATTCCATTTCAAACTTCTTTGGACACTACCATGTTGACTGAGATTCTGCATTTCTCGTTCTCGACGATCTAATTCTGCAGCTTTTCTTTCCAGTTCTTCTTGGCGCTTAAGAAGTTCAGCTTGAGCCAAAGCATGTTCCTAAACAAAAATTTCCCATATGTAAGTAGGCTGTCAGAAGAACAAAATACTCTACCTGCCACTTATTTCTATTATGATAGAAGTATAATGAAAATAAGATTCCCCCAACTAGGAATTTATTCGAAAATAAAATATAATGGGCATATTTGGCTCATTTTAATCTTTTGGTTATGAAAACTCTCAGTGGAATGTTGAATTCATAGGATAGGGGAAACCTATCATATTAACAGTAGTCAGAGTCATGAAGTAATCTTAGAAAACGAAATTAAGGTGACTTTCATGCCTAAATAAGAGAGGAGAGGCCAGGAGAACACTTGAGGAAAAGGGTAAACAAATCTGAATTGGCTCCGAGATAAAGGATTTATAAGGCTCCCAGTGATGCAAGAGTACTTTATAGTTTCTTAAATGTTGTAAGATGCTGAAGCAAGACAAGGAGATACTTAAATTCTTGCCTACAACTCCGATCCTAGATGATACCCAGCATCTTATTCACCTGAGTTTTCCTGCCATCTTCTACCTCTCCCCCTACTACCCACTGGTTAGCCAATATAACTTACTCTCCCAGTAATATCTATTATCCTATCATTATTCTATTGTTACTGTAATAAAACTGTGCATTAAAATTTTAATAGAACAGCTAAACACCGGTGGCTCATGCCTGTAACTATGGCTACTCAGGAGGCAGAGATCTGAGGATCATGGTTCAAAACCAGCCCAGGCAGGAAAATATATGAGACACTTATCTCCAATTAACCACCAGAAGACAAGCTGTGGCTCAAATGGTAGGACACCAAGCCTTAAGCAAAAAGCTTAAAAAAAATTGTGAAGAGCCATGTGCTGGTAGCTACCTACTCAAGAGGCTGAGATCTCAGTTAAAAGACAATGTAGGCAGAGAAATCCAAGAGATTTTTTTATCTCCAATTAACCAGCAAAAAGCCCAAAGTGGAGCTGTGGCTCAAGTGGTAGAATGGTTGCCATAAGTGAAAAGGCCTAGTGAGAGCCCAGTACTAGTGGCTCTAGTACTGGCACGCACAAAAAAAAGGGGGCAAGAAAAATTTCATTCTGCAAATTGTATACCAAGGTGATATATTAAATCCAATGATTTATTTAATAATGGACTATATTCAATAAGGTATGACAAAGTTAGATACTGACAGTGGCATGATAGCTTATTCAGACTTACAAGTGATTTAAAACTTCAAGGAATGGGCAGAGAATTACTTTGCTCTATTACTTTGCAATACTGATACTGTAATTTCCCATACAAATAGTTGACATGAACTAACCTTTGCAATCTGTGTATAAGCTGGATGTTCCTCTGTTGGCTTCATTATTGCTGGTTGTGTGTTGGGTACATTAGGCATTTTCACACTGCCTGGTGGAGGCTAGGAAGATTAAGGAAAAAAAAACCACAAATTATATAACTTAAGTTCTAACTCTAACACAAATAGAAAGTACCATCCTCCAAGATCTGTCTCTTCTTAGATGTCTGCTGAGAAAGACTTTGGGCCCCAGGAACCCCTTCCCCAACAGAGAACATGGGTTCAACACAATTGTCTGGGCTTCGTAAATGCTGAGAGCTGACTATGTGCAATGCTGAGCCAACATGTTAGATGTCTACTGAGGAGAACCTCTGTCCTAAGGAATCAACCACCACCAACATGGCAGCAGTGGCCATTATCTGTCTTTCACAGCTTCTGACAGCTGACTGACTGAAGCTGAGTCAATTTCTGAGATATCTGAGGAGGATCTTGGTCCCCAGGAAACTTGGCTTCACAATAGCCACCACTGTCTCTCTTTCACAGCTATGGAGAACTCATTATGTAAGCCTAAGCCAATTTCTGAGATGTCTGCTGAGGAGGACCTCCATCTTCAGGAAAGCCAACCTGACAGCAGTGGTCACTCACTGTCCTTCATTCACAGACACTAAGAACTGTATGTATAAGGGTAAGTCAACACTTGAAATGTCTGATGAGGAGGACCTCAATCCTCAGGAACCCAAGACGACAGTGGTCATTCACAGCAGTGGCTATTGCCTATACTTCACAGTTGCTGACAGATGACTTCAAAAGCCTGAGGCAACATTTAAGATGTGTGCTGAGGAAGACCTCATTCCCTAGGAATACAAGAACATGGACTCAACAGCAGTGATGCATCATCTGCTAAGAAAGACCTCAATCCAAAGAGACTGACTTGACAGTAACAGCCACTGTCTGTCCTTCACAGCTACTGAGAGCTGACTATGCAAGGCTGAGTCAATGTCTGAGATGTCTGCTTAGGAGAACCTCAGTGGGCAGGAACTGAGAAGACAAACTTGGCAGCGTCAGCCACTGTCTGTCCTCTACAGCTGACAGCTGATTGCCTGAGGCTGAGCCAACTTCTGAATTGTCTTGGGAGGAAGATCTTAACCTTTAAGAACCTGAGAAGACCAACATGATAGAAGTGACTGAAGCAGCTACCTGAGACATCTGCTGTGAAGGACACTGTTCTTCAGGAACCCAAGAAGAACAACCTGACTGGCAATCTGTCTGTCCTACGCAGCCACTGCCGGATAACTGAGCATGCCTGAGTCAACATTTGAGATGTCTGCTGAGGAGGTTCTTGGTTCCTAGGAACCCAAGAAAAGGGTTCAACAGCAGCAACACTGTCTGTCCTACCCAGCTACTGGGAGCTCACTGTTTGAGACTGAGCCAATTTAGAGATATCTGCTAAGCCAACTTCTGAGAAGTTTGTGGAGGAGAATCTAGATCACCAGGAACCTGAGAAATACCAACTTGACAGTAGCAGCCACTATCTTCACAGCCACTGAGAGCCGTCTACACCATGCTCAGCCAACTTCTGAGAGGTCTGCTGAGGAGTACCTCAGTTCCCACCTGGGAAGTGGTGGTCACTGTCTGTCTTTCGTGACTACTGATGGCTGTGTGTGTGTGTGTGTGTGTGTGTGTGTATACACACATACATACATAATGTATATATAATTTATATGTTTATATATAGATTTATGTATAACTATATACTACATAATATGTACATATATAATTATACATAATTGTTATATATGTGTATATATTTTATATATGTGTGTGTATATATGTATATAGAAAATCAGTATCTTCAAAGCATATTGGAGACCTGTTGCTGCAATCTAAGAACCACTGAAAAGTGAAAAGTACAGGAAAATGGACAATAAACTGCACAAGCTCTATTTTGCCAACGAGAAATGTCAGTATTTTGAAAGCAGCTGCAAAATTAAAAAGCAGATAGAGCTGGGTACTGGTGGTTCATGCTTTAATCCTAGGTACTCTTTAGGCTGAGATCTGGAGGATCCAAGATCTGAGGCCAGTCTGGGCAGAAAAGCTTGCTAAATTCTATCTCCAAAAAAATCAACAAGACCACAGGGCTGGGGATGCAAACTATGAGGCCTCAAATTCAAATTGTAGTTCTACCAAAACTAAAAAGTAGTTATAAAATAAGAGAAAGGAAGACAGGTAAGAGCTACAAAAGGAAGTTCAAAGGTCAGAACTCCTAAGGGTAAAAAACACTGCTAAGGTAGCATGATTGTACCCTGACATAGCCAATAGCAGCCATGGAAAGGAAATCAGGTATAACTACAACTGATTCTATAATTCATATGGGGAAATGGGGGCTAAGAATAGGTCAAACAATTCAGAAGAAAAATAAGACATGGAGATCGGTGATAACAAGACTTACTAGAGAATATAGAAATTAAGTATGTTACAAGACTTACTAGAGAATATGGTAATTAAATGTGTTACAGACACAAGAGAAATGCACAAATTTTAAAAACTGACACAGAAACAAACCCACACAACTACAGAAGTTTGATGCCCAGAAGAGGCAGCACTAAAAGAGTAGAGAAATACTACTAGTGACTAAATGGGGCTAGGATAGATTTTTACGTAGAAAAATAAAGCTCAATTTCTTATTTCATACAGATAAAAACAAACTCAAGGTAGATTATTGATAATAAAAGCAAGAAAGTAAAATAAACACTTTTAGAGGAAATTTTTATTTTTATAAACTCAAAGCAAGTAACAACTTCTTAAATGTGAGCTCTAGAAGTCATGTGTGATTTGCTTATGATATATGCCACATGTTTAAAACAGTGCCTGAAACTCAGCACTCAAGTATCCATCAACTCAAATCAGTTAAGAAAACACACAAATTATTAAACTTGGATAAATTCAACTATATTGAAATTTAACAGCTAAATGTGAAAAAGTAAAATCACAGACTAAGGAAATTACTGTTACACAAAATACATACAAAGTTGTTAAAATCCATATAAATCCAAATTATTAATTTAAAAAATTGGTTAAAAGCCTGGCTTCAGTGATTCATGCCTATAATCATAGCTACTCAGAAAGCTGAGATCTTAGAGGATTGCAGTCCAAAACCACTAAGACAGGAAAGTCCATGAGACTCTTATCTCCAAACTACCAAAAAGCTGGAAGAGGAGCTATGGCTCTAGCATAGAGCATCAAGTTTAGTAGAGCACTAGATTTGAGCACAAAAGCTCAAGGTCAATGCCCAAGCCCTGAGTTCAAGTCCCAGGACCAGCACACACAAAAAAAAGGATGGAAGGAGATAAAGAGAGGAGGAAGAAACAGAGGGGGGGGAGGAGGGAAGGAGAGAAAGAGGGAAGGAGGAAAGGAGGGATGGAAGAAAGGAAGGCAGGAAGGAAGGCAGGCAAACAGGCATAGAAAATAGATTAAAAATCTGGACAAACTAGACAGAAAACAGTAATAGAAAAAGAAATGCATGATGCTCAATATCACTAATCATCAAGAAGGATAAAAATAATGGCATTCAATTTTGAAGGCATGGGACAGAAAATTTTAAACTTTTAACACCACTAAAATTTGGAACTATAGTTTTATATACAATGGTGGTATATATGAAAATTTAAGTTTTTCAAGTCAGTGAGAATACAAAGGATTATTTTAAAAAATGTTGCTAGACAATAGAGGAGGGAGGAATCAAATCCCTGTCTCAACAAGAAAAAGTCCAAATAAAAGAAAAGAAAAGGAAAACTATGAAGGACCTAGGAGATAGTAAAACAAAAAGATCAGTAGATGACTATCTGATCTTGGGATAGAAAAAAGTTATTCTAACAAGCAGTATTTATTCTGCCTATAATCCTAGCTACTTAGGAGGCTAAGATCTGAGGATTGTGATTCAAAGACAGGAAAAGCACATGAGACTCTCTTCAATTAACTACCAAAAAATCTGAGGGGTAGAGTGGCTCAGTGGTAGAGTTCCAGGCTTGAGCAAAAAAGCTAAGGGACAGCACACAGGCCCTGAGTTCAAGCCTCAGTACCAGAAACAAAAAATAAATAAAAAGTCATTCTAAACATTTCAAGTTATGAGGGGGGAGAAATAATAAAAATATGAAAAGGTAAGTCATAACATAAAAATTTAAAACTTTGATGATATAAACTATTTCATTAACAAGAATAAGTCTAAATAATAAGCAACACATACAATTGATCATAAGAAACAGGTAAATTAATGGGGAAAAGTATTTTTTAACAATCCTAAAGTACAATTTGGCATTATTTATGAAGAGTCATGAAATCATTTATCTCCCATGTCTTGTTGTTTGTTTTGGTAGTACTAGGGTTTGAACTTACAGCATCACATGCTTGTAGGATGAGTCATGCTGCAAGCTTTGTTTTTCATTGGTTAGTTTGGGGATAGAGTCTTGCTTTTACCTGAGCACCCATCTGACCCTCAGTCTGCCTACTCTAGGCTTCCCGTCTTCACTAAGATTACAGTACATGCCACTCTGTCCAACTTCCCACTGTGGAGCTGTAATTTGAAGGCTTCTCTGTCTTGGCTGACCTAGTACTACAATCCTCCCACTCTCAGCCTCCAGTGTAGCTCAGGATGACAGGCCTCCTCTTCAACCAGTTATGGGCTGAAAGGCAACCTCTAAAGCTTTTCTGCCCAGGCTGAGCTTGAACCAAGATCCTTCTAAAGTAGCTAAGATTACAGACAAGAGTCAGTGACAAACAAAGGAGGAGGCTACAATGCTTGATAAGAAATGTACTCATTATCTTGCCCATGTAATTGTAACCCTTCTGTACAGTATTTTCACAATAAAAAAGAAGAAAAAAAAAAAAGAGTCAGTGACATCTGGCATGAACAGCTGTTTTTTTCTTTAACAACAAAAAAAATCCCAAGGAAATCTAAGATATTCATAAATATGTATATAATAAGAAAACTAAAAACAGCTTTTGTTATAATAGCAAATTACAAATAATCCTAAAGCCCTAGGAACATATTTAGCATCCACTCAGTTGAATAAACAGCAACAAAAAAACAATGACTAAAGTCTCTAACATTCAGCACATATCAGGAG